CAGTGTATTTTAATATTAATAGAACTGAATGTTCCTACTTGCGTATGTTAGGGTCTGTATTTTTTAATAATATATATTTTTCTTTTTTAATTTGCGTATATTACAGGCGCCTCTCTAGTCTACTTCTGCTGTCCAGTGAGGAGTCCGAGACTGAACCCGTTCTGAGGCCTGCGTCACCTGCGTGCGCGCTAGTGGCGGCTCCGAACTCGGGGGAATTATAAGGTTAATGAGACCCTCAGGGCTTGCCTGGTGCTGTGTTGTGTAGTTCTCAGTCTGCTGTCTCTTCCGCAAGCAGATTCCGCCGACGGCTTCAGACTCTAGTTAAGGCAAGGATAGCCGGTCTTACGTCACGCCTCGTGTCACAGAAACACGCGGTACCACATTGAGGTTAGCTTGCAACCCAGAAAGTGCTTTGGCAATTTTCGGATCTTTATAACTCCGGAACTCCTTATTCGATTTTAACGATCTAGGATTATCGTTGGTCAACCCGATAACCTTTGCATTGTTATTCGACCCAAACCTAGCCCACACAAATTGGGCAATTTGGCACTTCACAATTCCACTGGCCACTTATTTTCTCACATAGCTCCTCTCGTTGATGTTTTCTAGTTTTTACGCGGAGTAGTTGTTGTTTTAATTAGTTTTTTCATTAGGCACTTTTAGATGCGAATCCCTACCAAAACCAAGCAAAGTCACAAATTGTCGCACTAACTACACAGTTCATCCAAAAGATAAACAGTCACTTAAAATTTAGACCTTAAATTCAGATAAAACCAAGTCTCTACGAGTTATAAGAAATAATAACAATTCGACCACTAATCTAAACATTTATGGACACAATTGTCATATGAGTACCTATGTCCGCTGACACAGCATGCGCTTGCCTTACATTACGAATAACTGACCATATAAAATATCTAGGTGTCAAGATTGACACCCAGCTTAAGTTCCGGAAACATATTGACTCATTATGCATATACCTACTTGAGTTCGTAAATTAATATTCGCATTGTTAACTTTGCTCGGCAGATGTTCAAGACCTTGTGTCCTCGGAATGACCTTGTGGAATCGGGCCTCTAAAACTGTCTTCTTGCCCTTGGAATGTGCCCAAAGAGAAATCCTTTCAAGCTTTCGTCCATTCAGATTTCCCACTCACCAGCTTAGCAAGGAAATGCAAAGTTCTGACAATACGCCAGCTATTTATTCTGAATATAGCATAAGTACCTACTCCAGCATGCTGAACTTTAGCTTGGTACCTTCTGGGCGTGGAGAAAGGATATAGTTTGCCTTCAAAATTTAACTCAATGAAAATACTTACGTAGGCACGTAGTAATTTTTTTTGGGTTTATTTTGCATGTTAATTTGTGTTTAATTGTAGTTACCAAGTATTTTAAAAAAATGTCGTTTTTTGTTTTGTGTTTTTGATTTTAACGTCGATTATTTATACCATAAAGGCATTCAGTATGTTGAAAACGCTCGTACGCCTCCCGGTCACTGAGATTTGTCTTGTTTTCCCCATTATGCGTTCCTAGTATTTTTTGACAAGTTTCAATACTCTGTACCCACGACCGATGCGTTTTCGCCACTTACGCGGATAAAAAAAGAATCCGACAATCAGGTACAAGGTGTTGCAAGTAGATTGCCAGTGCCAGGTGGGTACCGAAAAAGTACAGCAGGGGCAGTAGTTAGAACGGGTTTATTGCGGGCAACGAATGTTTAACTGGGGAATGTCCTACTAGGGTTTCATAATTTGACAAGTTACCTCTTGTTAATTATCTTATTGTGTTATTCGTAAAACAGAATGCTATAAACGGGTAAAATCCCGATAGGATTGGTACGCGTATTGTACAACACACACAGAATTGCGTGGAATGGGCATCACCAGGTTATATAGGAACAAATTAGGTACGCGTTGTCGCTCTTGAAGCTTATCTCTGTTTTAGAGATGAATACTATGGCTTAGAGACAAATATATGAAACCAGGGCGCTCCGGAGGGCCACGACACGCCCACCAATGAAATGGGTTTCCAGCATTGTTATAACAAGCTCCAAATATTTCCACATGGACACGGACCATAGTCCACCTAACTTTCATTGCAAGATTGCAACAAATGTTTCTTCATGGAGATAACAAAAACGCCGTTTTTGTCTTTAGGTGGGATCTTTAGAATTTTGTAAGATTTTGCATTTGGCTTGGATTAAGTCAGCTCAAGGCAATGCTTAACAGTAAGTTGCAAATAATTAAGTGTAAGTATTATTTATTGTGAATTTGTAAGTAGGAAGTCCAATCTTGGTTAAAGTTACTCTCTTCAGCGACATAAGGAGTCTCGTTTTTTGAGTTAATGTGATGTTCTAAAAATGTTTTTTTAACTGATCTCATAGTCGAAGATAGTCACTCACTGGACACCAGAAGGAGGTCGACGCCGTCGAGGTCGACCACGGCGAAGGTGGTGTGACGATCTGATCATGTACGCGGGGCAAACTTGGCCGGAGATCGCACTAGACAGAGAAATTTGGAAGGAAAAAGGGGAGGCCTTTGCCCAGCAGTGGGACACACGATAGGCTACAAAAAAAGAAAAAAAAACTGATGTCATTGTTATTTTCCTTACATACCATGCCTGTCAAACAGAAATTTTAAATTATCTCCCCCGTGCTTCATGGTCTGGGTATAGATGTTGAACCAACAATATTTACTACCTCGAATTGCCAACAATCTATTGATCCTAGTTAATTATACTTTCCTTGCTGCAAAAACTAGCATAGGCCTAATATAGAGTTTTCGTTTTGTAGATCCACAGCGGCCCATACATACACCTCGCTGGCCTGCTCAGACATTCGACTGACGTACCTACTAAGACCGTCTACAGCTCCACAGATTTTATTATAACTAATTTATCTCATCGATTACGTCCGGTAATGGCCAACGGCTTATTGAATACGTCTTTTTGTGGCGCCTTTTTATTTGGAGATCGCGTCTAGAGCAGGCGGGCTTGCGGGACCCCGCCGCGATGGCATCCATGGAATGCCTAAAAGGTGACTCGTGGATAAATTACGGACATTTCTTCCATTTTAACGATTCCCTTTATTATTTAATTTATTTTTATCGTATGTTACACATTTGGCTTATAACAATGTTTGTTTTTGGGTTTCATTAGCATAAAGCTCACGCTGGGGTAGAAAAAAATAGAGGTTCGGTCATATTGGTTTTTCGATAGGATCTATTTTATGTTATGATGGGTGTTATTCGTTAAAGAGCTTCACGTGTCTATAGGGCAGATAGCGGGATGTCTCAATTTAGTAATTTGTCGGTTTTTTATCACGTTGGGGATGTGACATAATAAAACAATAAATTTATGGCGGCTCGTGATGATTCTGATCAGATGACCGCAGCGCGCGCCGCTCCGCTGGACGTTAATTGTTTTATGAAACGAGTAATTTTTATTAATTGCTCTTTGATGTGAATTGTACTGGGAATTATCAAACATTGTATCCATGCGGGGCCCGTCACTCACTGCTGTTTGTAAGTAGTTAAATAATATCTAGTTTCCCACTAAAAATAAATCCAAAATGCCATAAAAAATCTCTTTCAATAAAATTGAATAATAGTTGGTCAAACTTTTGTAATGCAATAAAACAAAAACAATGTTTGTAAATGCTTGTTTTGTGCGGAAACAAGAAACAGTCGTAAATCACAATTGTCCGGTGGAGGCACATACAACAATAGTTTGTTATTTATTACGGGTCATTTGTGCTGTGTTCCCGAATACTTACGCAACTAATTTAGCTACATATTTGTTTTTAAGTGATTTACTAGTTTTAAGGAAATGAAATAATACAACCTTTAAATAATTGTCCATCTTCTTTGTTCCTTCTTCTTCTGAACTTCTATAGATAATATATTGTTTTCTGAAAATATTTTTTTAACTTGAATGGGTTTAACGAAACTTTTTGAATATGTAATTTGGAAAGACAAAAAAAACAATGATTTATAACAAAAAATATATTTTATTTTTTTCTCTTATAAAGAATATACCTAGTAAAAAAATAAATAAATCTAAATCATTATCACTGGCTGTTTTTAACAATAATACGGTACATAGTCTCATTACAAAATTTTATTATGTAAAATTAAAAGCACGTTGGCAACACAGGGCACAACTTTTTTTATTGAATTTTTGTCTAGTTTGGTGTCATAAATATATACATTATTCTCTTAAAAATAAATATTTGTTTTTAAAATTGTATTATTATTGTATCTTAGGCATACAATTGTAGATAATACAAAAACTAAGCGTAGGTATAACAGGCATTCTATATTTTCATAACTTATATACTAAAATGGTATGTAGGTAGTAATGTATTTTATATCACATACATAATCTAAGTTTAGAATGCCATAATTAACATGGAACTAATAATTCCTAATTTATTTGTTTAAAATTGTTGATTTTATTCAAGGTTTCGCAATTTTTCTATAAAATAATAATTGAAATACTTAAAATATTTTCTTAGGTAGATATTGTTTCCTAGAAATATAGCATTTATGTGTAGTTTTATTTGTAGAATACTCATAGCAATCAAGTTTACAAAAGTTGTAAAATATCTTAAAATTTCCCCAGTAAGTAAGTATAACAATAACACACAATCGTTTTTTTACAATCCGAAGGAGAAAATCTTAGTAGGTAATCCTCATTATATTTACAATGAACCAGTTATTTTCCGAAACACGACTAATGACAATGAGAGAAACTACAAAACGATGGAAAAAAAATGAAATTTCCAGCTTGTACCTATAGTTACTTGAGTTACTAAAGTAGGTATATTGTGCTAGTACGCAAGTTTAATAATAGCACGCATTGAAAAAAGTTGTAAAGTCATAAATAAATACTTAATTGTGATACCTAATACTACCTATAATGTTTAATACTTATTTAATTAATTAATATTACTTGAAAAAATAAGTCACGATTGTTATTAGGTACCTTTAAATATCCGAAATATTATACATATTATGTCCAACTCTGGAACTGACCCTCTCTCTCTTGCTCTTGCTTTATACACATTCTTGCAGTCATTCGACCAAAGAAACAATGTTACTTTATAAATACCTAAGTAAATATATTATCACTACATAGTTTAAAACATATTCTTTTCTGTCAGCTCCTATGTATGCTTAAAACTATTAAACTGGGTGACATATTTTGATGCGTTTTTTCCTAGATTCAAGAGAAAGGTTTAAGTGAACTGACTTTTAAATTTATCACGATTTAGGGACGAATCGCGTACAGGAATCTAGCATTATATAAAACTCAAAGTAGTATTCAGCGGTTGATTAAAACATAAGTACACACATATCTACAAAATTAAACGCTTTAAAAGCATTAAAAAACTTTAAAAAATCTCCAAGCACGATGAATTTGTGTGACTAACCTTATACAGTGCGGCCGACGTATCTTGGCGAGTCTGAAGTTAGCCGATAAGCTGCGCAGTACACAATTTTGTTCCTAAAAGATCCATTGCGCAGACAAACGGCTAACTTCAGACTCGCCAAGATACCTTGGCCGACCTGTACTTAGGCTATTATAATACATAGATGCGTAACTTTAATAAGTACCTAGGCTATATAATACATAAGTTATGCGTATCCTCTCCTATTTAAGTTGTAGTAAAGTCCTTTAAGTTCGAGCAGTTCATTATGCGTCCCCATCTCGGCGACCTGTCCCTCGTGGATGACGCAGATGACGTCAGCATCACGTACTGTACTGAGTCTGTGAGCTATCATAACACAAGTACGGCCCGCCTTAGCCGCGTCTAATGCCTCTTGTACCACCTATAAGAGAGAAAATACACTATAATATGAAAAGCCTTATTAACCCATATCTTCTTCTCCTATGGTGTTAATGATCAGAACTGAGCAATTTGTGGATAATACAAAGAATATTATTGTCCTCAAATCCAACCTTTGAAATCTATGCTAATAATACTGATTATAAAGCTGAAGAGTTTTTTGTTTGAACGCGCTAATCACCGGAACTTTTGGTTCGAATTGAACAATTCTTTTTTAGTTTGTCATCGAGGATCAATAGGAACAGAGCAGCGGACAAAACCGCGCGAGAGTCGCTAATGTAGTACTTACATAGTCAGATTCCTGCATGAGCCATGCAGACAAAATCTTCCCCGAAAGACCACACGTTCTTTGTGAAGGGGTCTCTATTTTTGATGGAGGGAAAACCATCAAAAGACCTAACTGGGGTGGTACTGATTAAATTTCACCTCGTTCCTTTTCCTGCTCCTGGAGCAGGAGACGCGGTATTGCGGACTTGTATCCTCTGATGACAGCTCTTGTAACTACTTTTATTGCTTACCATGAGGAAATTTGTATTCTTGTTCACCTCTTATCATAATAACGACATTATTTGGTCATACCTTTTCGCTCTCAGTGTCAAGTGCACTGGTGGCTTCGTCCAGCAGCAACATCTTGGGTCTTCGGATGAGGGCGCGCGCGATGGCCACTCTCTGCTTCTGCCCACCGGACAGCTGCGTGCCTTTAGACCCGATGTTTGTGTCGTAGCCCTAGAAATTGGAAGGTTGTAAAAGGAACCCTTGCCTTAAACTTGGTAGGTGCAGAACTCAAGGTTATTAAGTGCTTATGAGATAGACTGGCAACTCTGCTAGGATAGCGTGCTATAATAATTATCAACACGAAAGTTTTCGCGTAAAAACTTCTGGATGGAGTTTGTTGAAAATTTGCAGATTGATTATAGTCAAAGGACTAGGACTATAGCTAGTTAATTATAAACTATAAGTACTAGATACTTAGATATTCCGTGCATAATACTAAACAACCCTTAAGAAGTAAAAGTAGGTACTGTACTCTGCTTAACTTTTAAATCTTTGAACTTTATTAGACATATTCACATTATCCGCCTATAGGTGCCCACTCCAAAGCAAAGGTACCTTCTCACTTGAAGAAGGTTTGAGCATTAATCACAACGCTTGCTCAAAGCGGATTGGCGATTACAAACTTATATTTGTAAAATTATAAATGAGACAAATAAATAGGTAATTAACAATGATAGGGATAATTATAATGATCAACCATCAACGACTTACCAAGGGCAGTGAAGTAATAAAGTTATGTATGTTGGCCTGCTTGGCCGCTTCGATGACTTCGTCGTGGGTGACGTGAGCCTCGTTGTTTCCATACGCGATGTTCTCCCCGATAGTGCGGTCGAAGAGTATCGGCTCTTGTTGCACGAAGCCTATTGCTCGTCGAGCGTCTACGAGCCGGAGCTTCGGAAGCGGTACGCCGTCTTGAGCCTAAATATGTACATAGAACTTGGTTAAGGTTGATGATTCAAGCCCTTGATGATTTTATCTTGATTTATTCGTCCAAGACCTTCCATTTTCATGATCATCGGCAGCCTATAAGTGCCCACTGCTGAGCAAAAGCCTCTTCTTACATAGAGGTCTGAGCATTAAACACCACGTTTGCTCAAGGCATATAGGCGATTTCAAACTTGTAATCAGAAATTACAATTGCCAGCACCACTAAGACATAAGATACCAAGAGGTTTAAAACTTCTAACTTACCACAATACCGTCCTCTGGATCGTAGTACCTCTCGAGCAGTTGTATGACGGTACTCTTCCCGCAGCCACTGGCACCCACCAGCGCCACGGTCTTCCCGCGCTGGATCTCCAGATTCAGATCCTTCAGCACGCGCACGAGAGGCCTGGTCGGATATCTGAACTGAATGTTTTGGAGACTCGCTTCTCCTGTACCGTTCTATTGGAAGAATTATTATTTGGTTAGTTTAAAGGAAAAAGGTAGTTAAATAAACGCAAGGAAAAATTAAGAATTTTAAGTATGGAGATGTTTAATAGGGAAGAGTAGAAAAAGAAGAAATCTTACTAGCTATCTCTCATTATACTAGGACATAAAATAAGGTTTATTTTAGTAACGTAAGTATGTATTTTCTAATAAAATGTCTGGTTTATGACAAGACGTGTCCCTCGTATACATTCAGGGGAATAACTCCTCAGTTTCCACCAGCCTTCAAGTTTTGTTACGTGATATGCGTATGTTTGCTTTGGGTGCCATTACTTAGGCTTTAATACCTTTGTCATCAACTTGCACTTTTGAGAAATGCTTATGATTACGGTCAGGTACAAAAAGCTTAGGTAATTTATACAATGGGTACTTACGAACTGTTTGACTGCAGGTTCGGCAGGATCTGTGATCTTGGACGGTCGTCCCAATAGTACAATGACACGGCCAGCAGCCTTGATTCCCTTCTGGAAGTTGGGAGCGAAGGCAAACGCCTGAGCCGCTGACGTAGCCCCCATCAACAAGGCTTGAGCTGACCTACAGGACACATAAGTATGTATGTAGGTAAATGATGATATATTTCTATTGGTATCACTTAGGCACTTATCTGGATTTAATATATCTTTTTGTTGCATCGTCTATAGAAATGGCATAATAAATGACAATGCAAGTCTAATTAGCTGTCCATATGTTGGTTTTGGACGAAGACAATACAATAGTTTTGGGTATTTAGCTAAGCGTGCTGAAAATAAACAATGTATCAACTAGACACTTAAACACGGAATTGTTAGATAACTAAAATAGTCTACAAAAACTTACTTGAAGACTTCTTGGAAAGGCACGCCTTCATTGACAATGAGAGTTCCACCGTAGTAGAGTGAGGTGGCAATGACGAAGTTGAACACTCCGCGGGACATGCCGAAGACGAGACCGCGCCAGTGCGAGCTACGGACGGCAGTGTCCAGCGCTGGGCGGAGCTGTTTACCGTACTCCCGACGGAACGTGTCCTCGCGACCCAACGACGCCACTGTACGCACGTTGGCCACCGCTTCTACTGCTATCTATAACACCAAGTCATTTTGAGACATGTAGGTATAACAATACTTTGTATACTACATATAGGGGGAAAAATAAGTCTTTCCCTGGATGTCGTGAGATAACAGCATAGAGACCTCAAATTGGATAAAGACCAAAAGAACATCACTTTTCTTTTATAAACTATGTGTTTATATTGAAACTGTGGTGTCTAAATCGCCTACCAAGCGTTGATTATAAAATAATTTTTAAGGTGTGGTTTTTTTTTGTAAGGGGAAAAACATCAAATGACTTCTCCCGCCTAGGGCCGGGCGGGAGGGAGTGTCAGACTCTTACTGACTTAAAACCCCCCTGTTTCTTCTCCTGCTCTGGGCCGAGGTCGCGGTGCCTCATTGCGCTTATCCCACAATCCTGGATGAACATCAGCCCTATAGGGCCCCGTCTGTGGTGGTCTATTGGCTCTTTCAGGCAGGTGTGGTGAGTTCTCTTACTTGTGGGCTGGTCATATCCAGCAGATTTGATTTGAACCGAGTACGTTAGAATTATAAATACTGATTTTGGAATTTACCTTAGAACTGCTCTCCATAGCCCTGACTGTTCCAGAAGTAGCGGCATAAGTCATCCTGCCTTCCTTGTAGAGCACGAATATGATGATGGGGACGAAGGTCAGGGCTACAAGACCGACTCGCCACTCAAAGATCAGCGACAACACCAGAGCGAACCCGAATGTACCGACTGCCTGTACTACTGTACCTATCCTTTGACCAGTAGCCTGGAAGAAGAAAGAAGAATCTCTGGTCACTGAACCAGATAGATGGATACTCGTATAATACGATTAATTGCGCTACTCGTATGTGATTCCAATCAATTGTGGGAGAGCCAAGCTTCGGCACAAATAATCATAGAAAGTACCTACATATAACTCGGCAAAAGTCACATTGGTACTTGTCAGGTTTTTAATACATGAATTGTGGACGACTAAACCTCCGGGCCACCACGATTGTACGATGTTTAAAGATCATCAGCTCTTTTTTGTGTATAATAATAATATAATATTGACTGACGCAGTGGCTGGGCAACTGGCTGCTGGTCTGGGTGGCTTGTGTATGTGAATTTTTTTGTTTGTACAGGCACCCACGACCCCATAAACAACCCTAGTGTAGGGCAACGTTTTATTAAAAGAAATAGTGTCCTCACCCCTTGTACGGCGGCGGCCTCCCCAGAGAGTCGTGCGCAGATTGCCCCTGTGGAGTTGTCCTTGTCGTCATAGAATCCAATTTCCATTTCCGTCAACTTCCTAAACATCTGAAGCCGTAGCCGCTTAGTTAACGCTTCACCCGCTATTCCGTAGAAGAATACCTAAAATTTATATTAACTTGATATATTTATTTCTAAGGGAATACCTATTAAATTCAATAATGATACTTTAGCTAAAGGCTTTAGAGTCTAAACTTGAAAATCCGGAAATTACTAGGAGTGTATAACTTTTTTTTTGTTTTAAGACTGCCAACGAGCAAACGGATAACCTGATGTTAAGCAATCGGCGCCGCCCATGGATACCCTCAACACCAAAGGAGTTACGAGTGCGTTGCCGACCTTTTTGGGATTAGGGTTTCGGATATTTAAGGATTGGGAAGAGATGCGGGAGGGGGTGGGTCTCCGGTAAATTAATCCAAAATAATATTACTACTAAATGCGAAAGTAACTCTGCCTGTCTTCTCTTCACGCCTAAACAACTGAACTTATTTGTGTGCAATTTGGTACAGACATAGTATGGAACCTGAGAAAGCACATAGGATAGTTTTTAAACCAAAAAATTGCAGGAAGTCACTATTCCAAGCGAACAAACTCGCGGGCAAAAGCTAGTTAGTAAAAAGTTTAACCTACCAAGGGATTCGATGTGAGTGTTAAAGTAACTTACCACAATAAAGTTGGTAACACCAGAGAACAGACCGATTCCGACAAATATCAACGACAATTGTGACACTTTTTTTTGTATTTCTTCTTGGTCATCACCATCAAGTACCTGTAAAAAAGAGACCATAATATAAGTATTTGTCATTTGTTTTAAATCTACACAAATATTTTAAAGAGATAAAATTTGATTTTTTGAACTGAGTAAGTTATGAAACTACTTGATCGATTTAAAGATTATTTTTTTGGCAAAGGTGCCGAGTGCCAGACGGTTGAGTCAGAGTCATGCTATTACAGAATACGGTAGTTTCCTACTAGTCAAATTCAATACTACGAATGTCAAAAACGATACTTTTCTATGAAATTTGTATCAAAAACTGAGTTATGACGTCATAACATTTTTACGTCAAATAGCTTACTTATTTCTTAATAATTAGCTACAAAATATCTAAAACTTAGTGTATCGATCGATCGATGAATAAAAGTATAGTTATTTTTCAATTTTTTATTGTATTGAAACTTCGAATTAATTTGTTTTTGACCTAGGAAGCTACCCAATTATACGTATCTCTGTGGCAGATCAGGGCTATTGGTGACGTACTGATGAACAAGAAATAAATGGTGTCACAAATAAACCCAGTAAAGTTAATACAAATACCAATATCCTCATTGATGGACTTATGAATTTTAGGAAAGCTTATTAATGTATTTTACTAGCTCATTCAAAAAGTGAGGTTTGACTGAAGTAACTATAACGTTTTGACTTTTCAAAACAAAAGAAAAGTATTGAATTTGTCTAAATGTCAGTATCCTTATTGACACATCGCTGGTTTGCGAGAACATCGGCGTAATTCAAAATTCTATCGAATTGAATTTTTACGCTGAGCAATCAAAAATCTTAAAAATGATAATAAAAATGCCATTCTCTAAAATCAGTAATTTTTTAGTTCCTTAGCCATTTTTGCAAACCAGTAATATATGAGTAGGAGTGTAAACCTTACAGCAAGGAAGTCTCCAAAGATGACAGCGAACAGTGGCATGCAGAAGCCGCTCATGAGAGAACAAATGCTGGCGAGGGTGACACTCTTCCACTCCGGCTTGTTCAGCTTCAGTACCCTCCAGAACGATATGTCAGGGGCTTCAACTGCATCCTCATCCTTGTCCTGGATTCAGACATAAATGTATTTTAAATCTTTTATTAAAAGGTGTTTTATCCCTTGTCAGAGGTGCCCAAAGTTAATCGGCACTCACTTTTCCAATGTGGTCGTGGAATTGTTTTGGCCCGCTTTTCAAAGGGATTTACATATTCAGACTTGGTGTTAATATATATTTTTAGATTAACACCAATTTTTTGACGTTCAAAAGTGCCCACTGTGGCTTAAAAGAAATAAATGATTTTTGACTTTTGAATTAGTAATTTGATAATACTTGGCTTTTGAATAAAGCTTCCGGTCCTGTGACAGGCTGGCAAACGAACTATTGACCGACAAGAAACTCTCAGATTTAGTTCCTCGTAAATTTTTAATAGCTAAGTAGGTAACTATTATCAAGATTGTCTAAATTTATGTCAGTTACACCAATTCTGAATATGTCAAACATTATTTATTGCGGTTCAATACAAATAACTTTCGAAAAGTTAGTGCTACATACGGATATGTGCACTTCTGACATGGAATATTACCTACAATGTGTGGTGGTTGTATCCCATCGCATATAGTCGGTATACCTAATGTTGTTGTATCCTAAGTTTGTATCCTATGGCTGAAATTGTGACAATGATATTCTAGTACAAGCTACTTACATCAGTCCGGAATTCCAAGAACTCATCCTCGTCATCCTTTTCACTGATTATGGAAGTCTCGCGAGACAATTTGGTCTTTTCTGTAAAATAATATTAGCGCCAAGTTCAGTATTATAGAGGAAACAATAATTATTTAAAGTGGAGAATTCGATCTTTTACATCGCACAATAAAGTTGAAAATGTTATTATTATTATAAGTAGGTACTCGTATTATTGCTATAAACTGATTGAGATTATAGAGAGGAATTACCAGGGGTCTGTTCATCCATGCCCGGGAGATTCTGCAGCATCACCATATCGTAGTAGTGTCCCTTACGCGCCATTAACTCCATATGGTTACCACATTCGACCACTAGACCAGCCTTGAAGACATATATGACGTCCACGTTCCTGATTGTGGATAGTCTGTGGGCCACTACTATTGTCGTGCGACCTTGTTGTGCCTACAAGATAATACAATTTAATATTAACCAAAAACATAGGCCTATTATTTTGGTATACCTAATAAATTGTACCTATTATAATAATAACAGATGATAACTATTGCTAGTCTATGGTTGACTACTTATACAGTAGGTTAAGGACTCCGGTTGAACTCGAAACTTGTCGGACATCATTTTTAAGGAATGATGCAAACAAGAAGCAAGAAAGAAATAAGGGTTGTTTTTCTCAAATAAGTTATTCTTAAACAGAGCTACAAAAGGAGTACCAAGTATTGAATAATTTACAAAGCGGATTTTTGGATAAGTATGCGAATTTCTCTTCTTACTTCAATTAATTTGAAACTTTTTTTTTGGTAAATCTGTGAACATAAGTATTTACCTTATCAAGAGCTTTCTGAACTTTGGCTTCAGAAGAGGTGTCAAGGGCACTGGTAGCCTCGTCCAGTAGCAATATCCTTGGGTTCCGTACTAGGGCTCGGGCGATGGCTATGCGCTGTTTCTGACCACCTGACAGTGAGGCGCCGCGCTCTCCTACTAGTGTGTCGTAACCCTGCGATTGTTTAAATAAAAATTTACCATTCTTATAATGAATTCTGTGATAAAGTTGTAGTATATTGACTGCACGGCTGACGCGATGCGCGGGTTGATTCCCGCAGGGAATGACTCTGTGTGAACCACAAATTGTTGTTCCGTGTCTAAGTGTGATGTGTATGCGATGTTGTATGATTTAAACTTACTTAATAGATAAATATTTTAGTTTCGGGCAGCGTTATTTAAAAGAAGGGGTTGTGCTGATTGATGCAATGAATTAGTTTTTTAATATGACACCATTACAGCAAGAGAAAGTTAAAAAAAAACTAGATGAAGCCGATTTTAGTATAACAGGCTTATGTTATAAAGCAGGACAGTTTATAGATTCATTTGTAACGTTCAAAATGATTAAGTAAATGTTTTTGCTATTTATTGTATACTTTATATCATTATTTGCAAAAGGAACTTACCTTAGGCAGCTTCATGATGAACTGATGAGCGTTAGCTTGTCTGGCGCAGGCTTCGATCTCCTCATTAGTGGCGTTCTCCCGCCCATACCGAATGTTCTCCCTGACTGTGGTGTTGAATAGCACGGGCTCTTGGCCTACAAGACCGATCTGGTCGCGGAGCCAGCGGACTGATAGATCGCGGACATCATTTCCGTCGATCGAAACCTAAAATATTTTGGGTTCAATAAATTTTGGAGAGATTGTTTAAGATTTATTTAATTTATAGTTTCTATGTGTTATTGAATAAATACGATAGGAACGTACTTTAGGGGTATAATTTAAAACTTCATAGTGACATTACAGGATAGAAAAGGCTGAGTCTATCTCTCTCCATCTCTATAAATACTTATTATAAAATTGATCAATGCGTCCCTTATACCAGGTCTACCTAGAGAACCTAGGATCAGACTATGTATAGGCAAATGTAGGTATGGGTCTGCGTGTGGTGGGTATGTGTAATTCTACCTTATTTCATGAACACACGTGGATGAGATTAATTACGAAATAGTCAACGAAACTCTTTCCGTCATTGCGTCAGCCAGTTAAGTATATGTATATATATATGAGTTTTGCTTAAATCTAAAGTTTATCAGTAGGTACCTACGCGCTGTACGCGCGTATTTATTAAGAGATATTTATGCTTTAAATACTTTCTGTATAAGTCATTTTTAATATGATTTACTATAAATAAACTGGATGATATCACTCACGATGATCTGGTCTTGAAAGAGTTTAATATACTTAGTGGCTACTTCATTTAATGCTCTATGGTAGTACCTACTAGTAAAAAAAAAGGTCGAGAACTATAATACTTGTACTCCCTAGTTAACCAAATCATCCTAATATTTATAAGGTACATAAATGAAAGGCATTGACGAAATATTGATTACACGACTGGACTTTACTCGACAGTGGTGCCATCTAGTTAACGCAAATATTATAGGAAAATGTACTAAATAAGCTACTTACACTTCCTTCGACGACATCGTAGAATCTGGAGATGAGTTGTATGATGGTGGACTTGCCACATCCTGAGTGGCCCACCAGTGCCACCGACTGACCACGCTTCACATTAATGCTTACTCCTTTTAGTACCTACACAAACGAATTACGAATAATAGATTTTCAATACTGTTTAAGGTTAGCTCAATATTATTATGATCTATACATATAATAGTACAGGCGGACTGTATAACGAAATTAAAATCCAACATCGATCCAGATTTTTCCTGCAGCTTTCTAAAAATGTATTATACCTAATTTAAAGAATTTATTAGTTTATTCTCATAATGCCCTAAGCATTACTGTCAAACTGCCAAATGCTTCTGCATTTTTGATCTAGATCATCTAGGAACGATGAATATTTATTATGCATTGGGTCGGACACCTCGTTTTTGGATTGATGGTAAGCAACTCATTCCATAATAAGATCTCCGCAGCAAATGGACATAAAAGTAGTTACAAGTATGATTGGGCATCTGGCGATTAGGGGTGGGCAAGGATTGAGCCTTCACTAGCTTGAATCAAACGGCGAAACACAACGCAAATGTGATTAATTAGTAACATCCATACTAATGTTATAAAGAAGTAAAATTTGTAAGTTTGTATATAGGGAATAATCTTTTGAACCTGATCAGATTTCCAAAATTCTTTCACTGATACATAGCTACAATATTCCTGAGAGCTATAGGCTATACAACATCACGCTACGACTAAATGGAGCCGAGCGGCGGAGGGTGAAACCGCGCGAGAGTAGCTAGTTTCAATATAAAGGTAAATTCGATCTGCGAATTTCACAAGTAGGTTAGCAAGCTTAGTTCACCGATAAGGTATTAATAGTTTAATACTTAAGTAAAATATACAGCATATCTAGGACTACTATATTTATAGGTAACTATTTCAAGTAGTATGTGTATGTACTTCTTTGGGAAAGTGATCAAGGATTAACATTGCACTGCAATTGATTTCGCAAGAGATTCTTACTGGTGGACAAACATTTAAAAATATTGTCGCTATGTGACTATTAAGTATTTAGATTCCATTTAAGACGATCATCTAATGAAATGTGGGTATGTTAAGTATCTTAACGCTAAACAAATAAATATTAATAATCAATAGGTAGGTAGGTAGATTTATCTGCCAAAAGTATCCAATAGGTATGCGACCGGCAATTAGTTAGTGAATCATATAGATTAGTGTACAAAAAATAACAATTTATCTACCTACATGAGTTGCCATTTTTTGTCACCGATCACACTTACCTACCTAGTATACCTAGTGAATGATATAAATAAAAGTAGATTCAGTAGTCATAGTTAATCTTGAGCACGTATATAGGTCTACTTAGGTATTTAAAGGTGGTGGTTAGCCATCCAACAGTCCTCTAATTTTGAAAGTTTGAATTCGCGTATCCGCCTTTTTTGTGACAACCATTCTTTAACGGAAAAAATATACCTACCATACCAAATAGTGAGTCAATATTTTAATCGTTTAATAATCTGTTGTTAATTATAACATGTCACGATGAGTTCAGTGTGTTCGTCAGTGAAGCTGTATGGGTGCTCGTTCCAAATTGTATATTCGAATGGAGAACTACAAGCAAGAACTCCATTAAAAATTGATATTTGTTTTAAAATTTCACTAATACATTATTGTAGCCATATATGAGAACAATGCAGGAAGTTGATAAAAAAAGAACAAATGATGGGCTCTATCATTAAATTATGTTTAAACATGGCGTCACATTATGCATACGGACAATCCAAAAGACTACTTCTATATAAACGCTATATTTAGAGGAATGTTTGATTTTTAAAACTAATGAATTCCAAATTGTAATTAGGGATTCATTAGTTTTGAGAATTGTAATAACTAGGTACCGACAATATTTTGCTAGGCATTGTCTAGACGAAGATTGTAATTATAACAAAGAATTGTTTCGAAATAAAAAAATTGGTAAGTATTAAAAATACCTTTTGTGAGTGATGTTTAAGTATAGTTAAAGTTTTAAGTTTACAGTAATGAAGTGTAAATATAAGTAATTAGCAGCCGTTATTTTGCTCTAATTTCTTATAATATTGCAAACCAAGCAATCCCATGGTCGTATTTTTAGCATGTCCATCAAACTATGACATACTATAACATAATTTAGTTATGACTAAATTATTATGACTCCGGTCAAATTATTGGTCAAAAAGTAAACAAACAAAACATTATTATCGAAATATTTTTGTGAATCGATAATCCCGTCATAAATATATTTCGATATCGATATCAATAAGTAAATATATAATCGATATAATAAATGTATGGGAAACATATTACCCAACTTAAGGGTAAAAGATTTCAAAGTAAGCTAGCAACACCGACAGATGTATGTTAAGGTTTTGTGTTCCAAGAATTCACTAAAATTAATTTTATTACGTAAAATAATATCCAAATCGACCAATAATCAATATTTATCTGTGAAAAGATCATCCTCCCTCTTTATTTTTATTTTTGGGAACAATTTTACAATATTTAAGAATGCGCGCGTATTCGCTTTTGAATTTGTATTTAATTTTGTTTCGTGGCTTTACTTTCGTCATCGTGTTCTGCACGGTCTATCTGCCTTTGTTTTGTAATCTGTATTCTCAATAATTATAATCTGACAGTTAGTACAAGCCTACAAGGTATGCCTGTCTTCACAATTATCGTTTAATATAAGTTTTAAATTGTCATTTGTTGAGATTTAATACACAACTAGGAATTTTATTGTAACAATTTACACATAACCCCACTAATAAAGGATTAAGTCTTTGTTGTCAATATAAGAACCATTCTAGACACTCTCACGGCCTCGGCAAAATAAATGTTTATCTAGTATTTTAGTACCTACCTAACTATCCTGATTCATAAATATACATAATAGTTACCTATACCTACCTCAACATAATTCACTCTTCTGGAATGTTATAAAAACCAAAATGTTGATAAATTAATGAACTAATTTTATTTATCAAACATTTTCGCATGATTAGGTACCTAGATACCTAGTTATCGTTTACTAATTGTAAATACGTCTACACAGTCATATTGGAACATCTATTAAAAGTTATTGTATATCACTATCAGTGACTAATAAATTGCTAGCTGTATGGTTTTTAATGTTATCGAAATTATGTAGCCATTGTCTCTATCTATCACAGACGATCAACTTATACAAACAGGTATCATCTGTAGGTACCTGATGTTTAATTTTTGAAATAGAAATAATAATTTTGTTTTCACATTAAATACCATCTATTGATTTATTTATTGAAAATTGGAAAAGCGAAGCTACCATGTGCATAACAAATGAAGAAATTGGAATAGGAATGGGAATCAAAACCGCCATAAATATGGCAGCGAGAATATTTTAGTAAGTGACAATACAATCAAAATTAATGTAAACTTTTTCCAAGGTGGAAAATCACCGAATAGTAGTAATATTCTATTGTATTCTAGCAGCATGAGGAAGTGCGATGGCAATAAAACATTATAGGTTTAACAGCTTGTGTTGATTGATTGATTGTGACTTTAAATTGTGACAACTAGGTACGGTCATGCTTCGCCCTAGTGGGCCTAGTATTGCCTCATCTGTGGTAAAAAATGTTAATTTTTAAATGTGGGGGAGCCATGCTTCGGCTCGAATGGGTCGACTCGACCGGAGTGATACCACGACCTCATAGAAAAACACCGTGAAATAACCAAAGAGTTGTGTTTCGCCGTGTGAGTGAGGTTACCGGAGGCCCAATCTTTCTCCTACCCCGTTCGTTCAATCCGTTCCTTTTCCCAAAATCTCCTAATGGCTTATCCCCAAAAGGTCGACAACGCACTCGTAACTCCTCCGTCGTTGCGGGTGTCCATGGGTGATGCTGATTGCTTACCATCAGGTAATCCGTTTGCTCGTTTGCCGGACAAATCACATAAAAAAACTTAACAATTTTCTAGGTAGGTACTTACAGGAACATCAGGCCTCGATGGGTAGTGGAACTGAACATCCTTAAGCTCGATGTTGCCTTCAATGTTGCTGGGAACAGTTCCCCTATTCTGGAGGGGGTTGATAGTGGGGACATTGTCGATCATGTTGAAGATATGCGCGCCAGCTCCGCGGGCCGAACCAAACACCTCCATTAAGGTTGATGATATACCGAAGTTGGCGGAACCCGTCATCACACCGAAGAATACCTGGGGATTAAATAAACTATTTCACGATTCTGAAATTCAATGAAACAATGCATTTGTTTTCGCATATCTATACTAATATTATAAAGAGGTAAAAGTAAGTTTTTAAGATTGTATGTAGGGGGTAATCTTTGGAACCGCTCTGGTCGGATTTACAAATTCTTTCAGTAATTGATACTTAGTTACAATGTTTCCGAGTGCTATTGTCTATAAAACATCTCGCTACGATCAAATGGAGCCGAGTAGCGGGTGAAACTGCGCAGGAGTTTCTAGTAGGCCATAAAACGGCACTTTTACACGTCAAAATTACTTATATATAAGAAAAACTAGATGAAGCCGGCATTTCCAATCTGTCCACTCTGAGAAGAAATGCCGAAACAAACTCAGACGTCCGTCTCTTTTAAAATCCAGAAAATGTAAAAAAGAAGAATAATATGTGAGAACTGTGCGAGTCTGTCAAGTCAATTCTACCTGCAGTCAAGAGTAAATAGACTTATTAAAATCAAAATTTGTTGATTTAGCACATTATTTTCAAGAAGCATAAATTTTCAGCACGGTGCGAGTTGATGTAGCTAAATACCTACTTGAGATATCATTGATACAATTCATGTCATTCATTGGTACTCCGCGTAAGATTCATACGTGCGTGCCTATCGAAGTAATCTGAGATAAAATTAACATTTTATACGAGCATGTTTTGTGTAAATATATGATTGTATAACTAAAATAATATTTTCAACACTTCAGCATACTCATTCATAGAGTAACTCAACTTTATATCTTCATAAAAGGATATTAAGATTCTATGTTAAATGCATTCATTATCTGACTGTTGTATTCAGAGCCATTTATTATAGATATCATATCACTACATAGTATAAAACAAAGTAGCTTGCTCTGGTCTTATGTCCCTATGTATGGTTAAATCTTTAAAAATACGCAATGGATTATATGTATATTAACATCCATTAAATAGCGGACAAATTTATTATCAGAGTACCTAGTGCCCGTACGAAATTGAGGCGGGTCGCTAGTGTAGCATAAACATTATATTAGGAACGATTTCGTTGCGAAAATTGCAAATAATTGCAATTGCTAAGGACTGTGTGTAATAGTTAATTAAACTATTATTTAAATGACTCTGAGTACGGCGTTAAGTAATTAATGAATAAATAATTCGGATGATGATCAACTAACGCATAAATAAATAAGAAGTTTACTTACAGCGATCATGGTGGAAACCTCGTAGTCATCGGTTACCATCAGTCTGTAACCGAACCAGAAGGAGAGTGCGTACGCGCAGAATATGCAGAAGAACAGACAACCCATTGCCAGGCCGTTAAACAAACCTGAAAGAAGATTCTGTCTGTAGGATACATTTTAGGTATAGAGGACACCAGCCTATTAAACAATATTGCAAACTTAATATTGAGGCTCAGGGTGTGTAATATGTTTAACAGTTTTATTATCAGTGTTATCATAGCTATTACCCAAGAAATGGCCGCTGCTTTGCCGAATAGCGCCGTGAAGTGGCCGCAATAGAGCAATTTGGTCACTATCCGTATTTTTATAAAATATTTTGTTATGTTATTAACCTCATTTTTAAGATAGATTTTGCAGAACTTCGATTTTGAAATAGATTAGTAGTTTTTGGTTGCTATTTTAAGTTAATAATCATGTATCCTCTGAATATGAAAACTTTATGAAAAAAAGTTACCTATATGGGACAGAAAACACAACTACATAAGCAAAACAGTTCTACAAACAATAAAAACAGAAATTCATGAAACAAGTGACAAGCGCGCGAGAGCAAAAAGAACATGATGAATGCACTTACTTTTCTTAACGTTGATCTTTCTGGCATCGTTGAGATGTCCTTCGTATCTCTCGAGCTCTTTCTCCTGTCCACTGAAGGCGTACACTGTTCGTATCGCAGATATCACCTCCTCAGCGATAGCACCTGCTTTACCTGTCGCTACAGCTTCCTTCTTTGAAAGATTTGCTGCTATCTATTGGGAAAAATTAAGAAAACTTTTTTGATGATTCGTCTCGTGTGTGTGAGGTCCTGAACCCGTAGAACTAATGGTATCATTACCAAACCATTATTATAGAAAACGTTAACTTTTTGTCAGTGACCTAAGTTATGTAGGTATTTCATGATACAGTCAGTTTCAATAACCTATCATGTTTGTGGATTTTAAAAATAGAATTTGCACACATTTTGTATTCAGCTTATGTCGTAATATTGATAGACATTTTATATTGTTCTTTATTGGAAAGGTCGGTAATCGTGCTGATTTGCTTTAGCCTAGTGGGCCCTAAATTTTGGTTTCGACGACATCTTACTATCTTTCTTAAATTATAAATGTTAGTTACGATGTTTGGATGTTTGTTACTCAATCACGCGGAAATGGCTGGACGGTTCTGCATACAATTTGGCACAGGCATAGGATACACTCCGGAATAGGACATAGGCTACTTTTTACCAACATACCACGAGAGTGAAGCCGCGTGCGGAAGCTAGTTTTACATGAATACAGGATGAGACATGTTTCTTTCTTTCCGAACTATAAAGTATCTATACATGTTTTAACCAAAACCAAATGTACTATATATAGCACACGTTCGGACGTTAAAACAATTGACGAAAGACGACACAACTCCTACGTCGCGTAAGTGGAACTTTTGCCCTATTTAACACGGATAGAAAATACCAACATATCTGTTGGGCAGTAGTCCCGCCAGGCATGATCAATTCACCTGGTCGAAGGATCTGTTTTTTCCTATTTTAGGGAACTTTTGGTACTCTCTGTTCCTTACAGCTATCATTAAAATTAATTATCACAGATACACTGTCAGGATTTATCGATTGAGTCGGAATTGGTACTAATAAATTCTAATAATACTTATATCGTATCAGTTACCAGGCAAATGTTTTCAGGTATTTATTTATTGACTTTTTGTATCAACTATCAATTCTATACGGATTGAAGCAACACAGTGATAATAGTTATATAGTTATTTCTTTATGATTGTAATTGTTTATCAGTTCATTCTTAGAGGTTATTGTCCTGAGTAACTTTAGACTTAAAAAGAAACAAATGACTGTGTTTTTTCTTCAATGATTGCACGGAAGCGTTTTTATTAGATTAAGTATGCCAGTTACCCACACATTATAGTAAAGTTATGAATAAATTCTTCACTATTGCCCATAATACCTATCAAGAGCTAGACCTCTTCTTTCTTCTTTCTTCCTTCTTAAAGAGCTGTTCCGCTTAACTAAAGCCGTACACCAGAGTTATGGTTCGAACCAAGAAAAACCATTTCGCAGCATGGACACACGTAAAATGTAGAAATACGTTTATTTATGATTTCATGATCAAAGATCACATAATATACCTCTTGCCGTATGTAAAGAAAGCTGAACTTACCAAGCCAGCGACGCCCACAAGAGTCATAGTAACTGGGAACGATATGAGGCACAGTAGAGCAAGCTTCCAACCTTTGACCAACGCCATGATCACACTGCTCAGGAACGAAGCCTGGTAGAAGAAGAAAGTCGACAACTTCTCCCCAATACCTTCTTCTAGCTTCATTATATCACTGCAAGTTATTGAATTGCATTAAAAAATATGATATTTCGAAAAATCTTATCACCAACAGATCTCGTACTTGTGGTCTCTGATTCAAGTTTCAATGTTCTTTATTATTTTACCTGCTGGTAAGCAATCGGGGCCACCTATGGAGACTCGTTGCACCTAGGGTTCTAGTAGGTTTGAAGATTGAGGATGGGGAAGGAGAGGGGCGGCGAAACGCAACGTAAGTGTTGTTTCTCGCTGGTATTCTATAAGGCAGACTGATCGAGCCGGCCCATACGCGCCGAAGCATGGCTCTCCCACACAAAAAAGTTCAGATCAAGTGCCATTTTTTATTTCCAATCTTCTTAATTTCTATCTAAGTCAAGTAAATGAGAATCCAGTTGCCTGCTCGACGCCGTTGCGTGTCGCGTAATGCTGCTCATGAATATGAGCCGACAGCATGACTTGGAGCTTGGAACTAGTCGAGTTATTTTGCCAAACAGTTACGTGTAAAACCTAATTTTTTAGAATACCTCACCTGTTCATTTTGTTAGCTATTTCTGCATTTTTATGAACATCGAAGTATCCAAAGTCCTGGTTTAGAGCTGCTTTCAAATATTCTTGACGTATAACGTATACCTGGAGGCAAAAAAGGAGTAGTAAGTATGTATGCACTTTAGTAGTTCGAAAAAAAAATTGCCAAAACTTGTTAATGCTAAACAGTTTCACGAAGATACGCTTCATCAACCTTGCATGGGATCACCGATTAGATAACAAAGTACAGAAAAAATGTGGGTTTATCAATTTTCCAAAATGTATCAGTTGCATCATTGAACTTAAAGACATCGATTCAAAGAATCTCTGAAGGCGATTAATAAAAAAAGCACGAGTACTGTGTCTGTGAAGCTATAGTTTATCAGGAATGTATGTAGTTAGGTCGCTCGCATCGATTATCTGGCGGCTGATGAGTCAGAAAAGTGCTGCGGCGACCACGGACTGGAAGACGAAGCGTGGGAAGACCTCCTACAAGGGGGAGCGACGGCCTCGTCTTAGTCGCAGGGAGACAATGGATCCGAAAGGCTACTTGTCGTTCGGCATGGAGATTTAATGGACCTTTGTCCAGCATTTATTACGATGGTGATATAGTTAGGTATACTTACTTGGTTATAAGCAGCTATGTTCATCAGAGTAGTGGCAGCATAAGATAGAAGCACAAGGGCCGCCCCGACAGCCGAATTGTATATGGCGAAATTCAGTAACGCCTTCATAAAAGCGTCACCATCAGAGAAAATGCTATATTTCACCATAGCCTCTAGTAAGTACGCAAGCAATAGCGTGTTCAGTGGAGTAGAGACGGCGGCCACCGCAGAACATAATAACGCCAAGATTATAAAGATTTTGTCCCTCGTCGATGCAAATCTGAACTGAAAAATTTATAATTCGATAAAAAAGGTTCTTAAGAAGTTATTCATATGACATATTAGGTATGGTGTATTCTATTAATTTCTCTATTACAGTTGGGAACCGACAATCTAAGTATGAACACATTTTTTTACTTTTGTTTGATGTACCAAGACTATTTTTTTTTTGAAATACACCTACCTACTTTTAGTCCTATTGGGAAGATTACTACGTCAAAAAGTGGAATTAATTTAAATTTGACTTTTCAATACAATGTATTATTAAAATATAAGAAATCCTACTTTCATTCATTGATTTGACGACAGACTTAAATTGTAGTTCAATTAAAAAAATAACATCATGACCCTATTGTTTCTGTCATTTCAATAAATGTATAGAATTTGACTAGTTGAAAACTACCAAATTACATGACACTTTAACGTTCATAATTTACCTATCTACATGTAAATTAATCTAATTTCGCTTTTATTTTCAACAATAATAAGGTCTTTGTTTTCTAAACACGTCTATGTTCAGCTGATAAGGTATAATGGCTACATGGACATTCCATTTCCAATGTCTACTAACGTCAGAAATACTAACAGTAACGTTCATGTGTAGCAAGCTAATTAGGCATCGTTATAAGTATTATACTGTCCGGGTGGATCGATACCTTATGCTTTCTTTAGCACCTTTACCCACGGAAATACATACATGATAATTTTTATAGAACTCCCTATTGACTTTTTTGAATGTTTATCTGGTACATTATTGAAATCATTAGAAATTTTTTTTAGGGTTCCGTAGCCAAAATGGCAAAAACGGAACCCTTATAGTTTCGTCATGTCCGTCTGTCCGTCTGTCCGTCTGTCCGTCTGTCCGTCTGTCACAGCCGATTTACTCGGAAACTATAAGTACTACAGTGATGAAATTTGATGGGAATATGTGTTGTATGAACCGCTACAAAATTATGACACTAAATAGTAAAAAAAAGAATTGGGGGTGGGGCCCCCCATACATGTAACTGAGGGATGAAAATTTTTTTTTCGATGTACATACCCGTGTGGGGTATCAATGGAAAGGTCTTTTAAAATGATATAAAGTTTTCTAAAAAACATTTTTCTTAAAGTGAACGGTTTTTGAGATATCAGCTCTCAAAGTCGTAAAAAGTATGTCCCCCCCCCTCTATTTTTATAACTACGGGGTATAAAATTCTAAAAAAAATAGAGGTGATGCATGCTAATTAATTCTTTCAACGATTTTTGGTTTGATCAAATTATCTCTTATAGTTTTTGAGATAGGTTGATTTAACTGTAATTTTGGTTAAGTTATTGTGCTTACACTGAAAACGATGGCTGAACCTTATAAGATAGATCAAAAAATATACTACAGTATTGTACACCTTTAAAAATCCGCGATGATATAAAATCTTTATAATGTAGGTACTTTTTACGAGAAATATTAGCTTATTATTAATATTCATACATAAAAGTACAAGGCAAAATATCGGGAGAGTTTAGGCTCCATTCACCAGGTGTATAAATTGACATAATAAGTTTATTATATTTGCTGCTACGGAACCCTTTGTGCGCGAGCCCGACTCGCACTTGGCCGGTTTTTTCTTTTATTACTTAGGTACAGGAGGAAATACTTTCGAGGGATACTTATCCTTATTAATTTTAAATATGTTTAAGTACCTACATTTAGCTACCTCCCTCTTAAATCCTCTTTATCTGAATATTGCTTTTAGTCTAGTACAAAATAGGAATAAAAAAGAATAAAAACTAAAACCCAACTACGACAAAAAATGACGCTGAAAAAGTTTAAAACCAGATTTTCAGAATGTTAGAGTGCTACGGTAGGTAGGTACATTACTTATATGTTACGTCTGACTACGCTTTTCAGTATTCTGAAAATCTTGTTTTATACTTTTTCAGTGTCGTTTCCCTCCTCCTGGGTACAGTTCGTAGAAGGTAACTTTGACGGCAGCTATGTTAATAACTAGTTGGATTAACTATACAACCAACGGCTTGGATGACTAGATTTCTCATTCAGGCTCTAAGCTTAATCGTAAAGCGAGATCGTCATGAAATCCAAGTTGCTCCAGAATATGTGGAGTTACTGTGAACTGTACAGAAATCGCAAAGAAACTACTGATATTGTACTATAACCAAAGGACTAGCTGATCGATTGAACGGTTATTTTAACCAGTTGGCTGCGACGTCATTAGGCATTATTAATATCTATATCTCATTCAATTAAACTGCTACTTACCAATGTAATAAAAGGTATGCTTGGTACTTCTTCAGGTTTCACTTCAGATGGTTCTGAACTTCTGCAACAATTTGGTTAGCGGTAAAACGGAGTTCATACATACTAGAACAATTTCCAATCACTTATTCACCTTCTTCAGTATCTATTCCATCTTAAGAGCTAATAGGATAATTGTCTTGAGAGATGGGTGTACAAAATTAGGTACAACATTCAGTTCACGTGAAAAAGTGAATCCACGACTTCACTCACGACCGAAATGAATAACCAATGCCAACCTTATAATCTGTGTATTAAGATCGATTTTAGTCATAGGTTGTATGAATTTACTGATAAATAAATGAAAAAAGAAAACTTTTAATAAAAACAAGCTTTTATCATGTGGATAAAACATATCCAATAGCTTAGCACTTTATAGTGACTCAAATTAAACGCGTACCTATACCAAATATAAATTTGGCTAAATGTTGTTGCAATATTTCACTTGACATAAACAAACATGCGTTGAATGCATAAAAATAAAAATAATAGCTTACATTTTGGATTAAAATCGATTATCTATTTCGGCCATAAATCTAGTTTATCGAACATAGAAACACTTGACCAAAGTTGTTTTATAAAACTAGTAGATAAATTAGCCTTTGTCATATTTTCGAAACAAATAAAAAAAATCCTTTGTAAACATTTTGCTTTGTAGATTCGATTTGATTTTTTTTTATTTTTACTGATTGCAAGTGGTTTTCGTGGGCATGTGTTTATAAAACGTATCCCACGTGGTGTTTGCCACGTTCAAACCAAGGTCAGGATCAAGGTTACGTACAGGGAAACAAAATCGATAGTGTTAGGGTACGTAGATAAATCCAGCTACATTATTTTATTTTGATTTTTTTATATTGATGCATTTTCCCAGTTACATTAATTAGCGAAACACGAATACTTAGTTTCAATAATAAAAATAACAACAATAGGTACTCACTATTGCTGAGTAGAATAAATTTTAAAGATTAATAGATATTGACCAACTTATCTAAAATATTATAATATAAATTGATAAAACCACGTTAAACTTAAATTTTAGGTTTTTATGAGTAATTTTATCTAGATTTTGGTAATAAAAAAATAAGTATTGCTATTACTTATAAGTAGATGTAACCTTGCCATATGAGTACGTCACAAAGATACTATTGATGGATTTGTACTTAAACGATGAGTAGGAAACTAGCGAGCAATCCGGGTTCATAAAAATAGTTTGTTTTATTTTTAACCCATGGTTAAGGAATGGCTGAGACACGGCAGTGCGGGCCAGTCTCGTGATGAGATCATATTTAATCAGTGACGGCGAATTAGTTCCAATGTTTCATAATATTTAATTGTGATTGCTTGTGTGTATATGTGTAGCATACTATACTGTGTTACAACTGGTGTGCGTCTGGATTGTTGATAATATACTTGTTGATCAATAATAATTGAAACAATTCGTGCTCAGTGTCATTCGCATCTACGGTTCCTTTTCTACTGATTGCACTAACAAAATATTGACTTATTGACTAGATACTTATTGTTCACAACATTCAAGATGTTGTACATATAAAACATGTAATAACAAGGTAAACTTACGTGTCAGAAAATTGTCCTTTCTGTATATCTTCATTCAATGGGTCTGGTAATTTATTCTCATTCTCCTTTTCACCTGGTTTCAGTTGAAAGCCATTCCCCTTCGAGTCCTTCATTTCGAACAATTAATTTACTGAATTATTCACACAATCACAAGCTACACTAAAACTGTTGATAGCTACTGCGTTTAAAAACTCATTATACTAATTCGCAATGAATTTAGTCAGCAGTATATATCTGGTGAAACGTTTATCCGTGGTCCTCCCAATCGCGACTAACGCATCCATGATACGTTATCAATTTATCAGGTCGATAAAACGTGAAAGGTGCTGTAGAACTGAAACTCGATTATAATAAAACAACGTTGGCTTTACAACAGTGTAAGTGCGTCAATGGCCGACATGTTCCCTTGAAGCGTGTAAACCTACAAATAATTATTATAAGTCGGCGCGAAATAACGCGAAAGTTTATTTATTTTACGAAGCTCTGGCGGTTCTTAATGATCTTTGCTTTGCACTCGTGAGTCACAGAGGTAACTGAGTTATTCCTATGTGTCCTATTTATGCTTATACATAAATGTAGCCCCGCCCAACTGTGTAATAAGGTAGATATGTAGGGTTAGGTTTTCAACTGCCAGGATTACAGTTCATATCAAGTTTCCATGGGGTACTATAAATACTATAAATTAAAGGCGGGTAGAATATAATGATTAGAAACCACTACTAAAACAAGCAGTAATTTGGCATCAATTTTGTGCAGTTTAAAAACTACCATAACTACTAGCTGTCGCTAGCAATAAAGAGCACACACTAAATAAACAAAACACAACTTATGAAATACGCGTTATTATTCTGTTGACAGTTGTGTTTATTTTTTTGTCATCGTTGCTACGATACGACGATTATGACCTACGAATAATTTATTAATCGAGATTACGTACATCATTTTACTCATTGATTAACTTATTCTAGAAGTTGTTTCTACGAATTCTTTTAAGAAAATTGTTCTGGAATGGTAAGAAATGGGGAAATTTTCCTAACATTTCTTCAAAGGAAGGTATTGTCTACGAAACTACCTATTCTACGATGACGGTTGACCGCACCGTAATTTTATCGATTATTGCGTAAACAGCTGGCTTTAGGTGACGAGGGCCGGCCGTAAGCGAGAAACAGGGTGACACACGAATAACCAGCCAGGAGTTCTTGATAGTTTTTTTTTAAGTCTGCCCAGTAATTTTTTTGCAGGTAAGAAATTGACTCAGTACCAAGACGAAGCCATTAGCCTATCTTTTGTAACAATAACAATATTTTTTTTAAACTGCTCTACACTTAAGTATTTTTTTCTATGTGTGAAGGCGTTTATAAACATACAATTTCACATAAGTACACATGATCCCCGACCCGGAAAAACAACTGTGCATCACACAAAGAGCTTTTACTTGCGGGATACCAATCCGCAACACGTGCCTCAGCCTAAGGAAGCAAAATCCGTGCATTTTTGCTGATGGTAAGCAATCGGCGCCGCCCATGGAGTTACGAGTGTGTTGCCGACCTTTTGGGGCTAAGGGTTTCGGATTGGGAAAGGATGGGAGGAGGGGGAGCGATTGGCCCCGGTAACCTCAATCACACGGCGAAACACAACGCTGTCGTTGTTTCACGCCGTTATTGTGGTTGTTTTCTGTGAGGCCGTGGTATCACTCCCGTCGGGCCGACCCATTCGCGCCGAAGTATGGTTCACCCATGGTTCCAGAAGGAGAAAGAAACTGGTTGGTTTTTATTTAGTAAGAGTCTGCCACTCCCTCTTGCCCAGAGTGGGTGAATCATAGGATGGTTTTCCAACCATAAAAGGCGTAGTACCTGAGGTAAGTGCAAGCTCTGTTTCGGATCCAGCGGAAGGAAACGCCCGAGTGTCGTCATTGTGAGGACCACCTAGAGGATACGGTGTAGCATACGGTGGCGGTATGCCCTGCCTGGGCTGACCACCGCCGTGTCCTTAGGGAAGCGATCGAAGGCGGCGACCTCTCGCGCCCGGCCTTAATCGAGGCCATGCTTCATAGCGAGAGGAACTGGGAAGCTATCTCCTCCTTCTGCGAAGCAGTGATGCTCGCAAAGGAGGAGGCGGAGCGCACGAGGGAACTATCCTCCTCGCGCCCCAGCCGCCGCAGAAGGCGACATTCCGGGCATCGGGGATCGAGAGATGATCTCCGGCCACCGTAAGCGCGGGTCTGCGAACGACGAGTAAGGGTAACTCGCCGCCCGATCAGAACCAGGCCCGAGCGCACGGCGCGTAGCGTTCCGCGCGCGCCTCGAAGAGCCAATAGACCACCACAGACGGGGCCCCATAGGGCTGATGTTCAGCCGGGGTTGCGGGGTAAGCGCAATGAGGCACCGCGACCTCGGCCTAGAGCAGGAGTAGGAACAGGGGGGGTTTTAGTCAGTAAGAGTCTGACACTCCCTTCCGCCCGACCCTGGGCGGGAGAAGTCATTTGATGATTTTCCCCTCACAAAAAAAAGTGCAAGCTCTTTTGAGATGGAAGCTATACAGGGTGTAATAAAAAAAAATTTTACAAAATAAAAAACCGCCTTCAAAAAAAGTCAAGCAATAAAAGTTCCTACACTAAAAAGTAAAAAATAACAATTTGAATTACTGTAAAAAAACTTAATTTATAGGTAAACTTATTTGACATTAATATTTTGCAAATATTCAAAATTTATTACTTATTTTTGGAGTCGGTGCCAGCATTTTGATGTTGAAACTTAATGTTAGTTAGGTTTTTAATATCCGGTGCCATTTTTCGTACATAATGCTTAAACATTTTCAATGTACTTAAAATGTTTTTGTAAGTACATATTTTTTATTTAAAAAAATGTGCAAATCGGACATTTTTTGTAGAGAAGTCTAATCTGTATTTATGTCTTAATTAATATACCTATATTTGAGTATGCAAATAGGTATTAAGTAGTTTTATAATTAAGTAAGAGGTAGTTTTTCAAGGGATTGTTGCCCATTTGTATTTCCTTGCATGGGCTGGCACCGACTCCAAAAATAAGTAATAAATTTTGAATATTTGCAAAATATTAATGTCAAATAAGTTTACCTATAAATTAAGTTTTTTTACAGTAATTCAAATTGTTATTTTTTACTTTTTAGTGTAGGAACTTTTATTGCTTGACTTTTTTTGAAGGCGGTTTTTTATTTTGTAAAATTTTTTTTTATTTGTAGCCGTTTAGTGTTTTTTTTTTTTTTTTATTATAATGTGTTATGGCAAAGAAGTCAATATCGTTCCTACATTTCTTTTGAAAAAGTTACCAATGTCATACTTATACGTAGAAATACATATCATAGTACATTGTTACTGTGTAATCGTTTTGATCTCGAGGAGAGATGATATGATGCATGAGATACTTATGACTTATAGTTAAAATAAAATAATAATCTTATCATAAATTCATATTAGTTCTCGCCAAATAACAAAAAACTAGATATTTTCATCAACAGACAGATAAAGTTCAAAGATACCAAATGCAATCTAATTTAGTATCTATGATTAAATACATTCGTACATAGAAAAAAGACCGATGCAATTATTGTTTTGTATCAATTGTAACCCATTAAATGAAGAATACTATTTTGTTATTACTAAGAACATTCATATATAGACAAGTTGGTAAAAATATAAAAGACCATCGCTATTGTAAATATACATTTATGACTCATTCAATGTATGAACCTTTTTTAAGTAAGTATTATCTACATATGTGCACACAAAAGAAACACAATTATTGTTTTGTACGACGCAATTATTGTTTTGTAACCCATTTAAAACGACTGTTTTGTTAAAAATGCCAATTAATTCTCTTAGCCTATTACCAGGAAAACGATAAGAACACAATGACGCATTTCACCACTAATGTGTAAACGCAGTCCACGTGGACTAATGCAAAATAGCCAATACTAGGCCAAACTCCGCCCCCAAAGGTGTGCGGTCCCGCTCTAGAACCTTTCGGCCCCATCGGCCATCTGTTCTACGAGCAATGTGCCGTGCCCACTGTCACTTAAGTTTGGCATTTCTTCGGGCTATGTCGGTGACGCTGGTTCTTCTGCGGATTTCTTCATTTCTGATTCGAACATGCACGGAAACTATGAGCATAGCCCTTTCCATTGCTCTAGACAGCTCTAATAAGCTTACACAATACTAGGCCCCATGCCAACCTTCCAGCTTCATCATCACATCAGTTCAATAGTACCTTACAGCCAAAGTGCATCTTATAACAATTCTAACAAGCCCAAACACGGCTAGGATATATTAATTAGGTACGCAGTTCCAGTGCCTACCTTCCAGCTCCATAATCATCATTAAATCAGTTCGATGATAACATTTCCAACATAATTATTTAAGATCATTGGTTTACAGTGCATTTTCATAGTTGCTGAACTACCTTGATTGTGATATCTATGCGAGTGTCAAGTTTCATCATCCATTTCTGATCTTCTTCACCAGTTCCACCTCATCAAACATTACTTTTTGACTGTAAATGCTTGAGTGCTCTATGAAAATATTAAAATTACTATATAGTTGCCTATAATATTTGAGGAGTTCCCTCGATTTCTCATGGATCCCATCATCAAAACATGATTTTGAAAAGAATGGGACCAATCTGGAAGCATATCCTTTCAATCATAAAAAAAATTTTGCAAATCCGTCCATAAACGACGGAGTTCTGAGGTAACAAACATAAAAAAAAAAAAATAAAAAAAAAAAAAAAAAAAAAAAAAATACAATCGAATTGAGAACCTCCTCCTTTTTTTGAAGTCGGTTAAAAAGACACTTAACGAAGCCGTTAACTACGCATACTGCAGTTCTAACTAAGTAGCTTTACGCTAAAATTATCACTGGGAAACGACTTTTATTTTTAGGTACCCAAAAAATTAATAATTTTATTGCGCGCAATGTAAAGCAAACGGGCTTCGTGTCATTGTGTGCGTAGGTTCACAGCTTAGTATTAAAACGCTGTGATAAGTACGTAGGTCGACGTTTTACTTCGCAACAACATAACAATTCTGTAAAATAAAAATTCTACTGAGATGCACGATGTTTTTTGTGCGGGTCTGCATTTATTTATTACGTACATTACTGTTCGTAACTTTTGTTTGGAAAAAAGTTTGTAATAATTCTTAGAATTAGATTGCGCAAAAAATAGTTAAAAATGCATCTTTGAACTTCAATATCTCGAGAACCCGTGGAGTCCCAGCTATGGTCTTAAAGAAAAAAATGATCCAAATAATGGATAGAATACGTGGCTTTCGGCTTCGTTAAGTGTCTTTTTACACCCTGTATCTACCCTAGCCTATCTGCTGGCGCTCAAACTTTGTAACACGAAACGCTCTTTGCTCAAAGTTATAGGTCAAAGGTTCTATTAATCTTTGGAACTACTAA